TCGAGTGCCCTGTGTGTGCCTTGGGAAGTTTACTACATCTTCTTCCAGCTTCTTCTGATTCTTGTCTATTGTTTCAAATCTATCCTGGATACTTTTTAGAGAAAACAAGTTCTGCAAAAAACACTGGTAGTTTGCTTCCAGATGTAAATGTTTTGAAGATGCACTGTCCATCTTTGTAGTAAGATCATTTATCTGCATGAATAAAACACACAGTATCAAAATAAGATGCTGAAAATATTTGACACAAACTCAACAAATTTTACATAAATTCAATTGCAACAAAACAATCTATACCAGCATTGTGAGGAGTAAATTAAGTTTCTATAATAGAATATATTAGCTTCTCAATTGGTTGAGGATTACAGATCTATAAATCCCTATTCTGGCTACACAATGAATGTTGGGGGAAACCTAGATTTTTTTCCCCATACTGACAAAAGAAGTGTGAGCATTCCACAGATAAACTCACTATTGGATTAAGTAAATTTAATTTTGTGTTTAATCAATGAAATATAGTAAGAATAAAAGTCTTGACAGGTCAACCTATTATCAAAACTTATTGGTATGATATAAAGTAGTAACTTTGTGAAAACAACTGTTAGGCAAATATATTTTCCATTTATTCTAGAATAGGTTTGAATATCAGATATTACTGTCACCTTGAGTGGATTTATATTTCTACAAGATAATCACTATGCAAACAATGTTGGTGACAGAAAAGTCAGAGAAAATGCATGAAAAATTTATTTTTATGTGAGCTGTGAATAAGAGAGACCAAATGAGCAAAAATGGACAAGACAGAAGCACAGTACGAGCAAGACAGAGAGATGATGAAATCAGCACAATTTGTGAAGACTACCAAGAGGCAGGGGAATAAGAACATGTCCACATGTTAACTTGTAAATACATGTTCCCAGCCATGTAGTACTGGTGGAGTCAAGAAATGGAAGCATTTTAGGGTTCACTGATGATTGGCTAAGTGACATAGTCATAAAATAGAATTCTACTGGACAACAGAAATAAAGTAGTGATGCTTGCTACAACACAGAGGATCCCTGAAAACACTATTCTAAGTCAAAGAAACTGGTTAAAAAAAAAGACCTGGTGTTGTATAAATCTTCTTGTATAAACTATCCATTATGGAGTAATTTTAGAGTTGAAACTATAAACCAGTTTCCTCAACAAAATTCCCAATGTGCAAGAAGTAAAATCAGGAATCAGTAAATGGGGCTGGTAGTTCAGTGGTAGAGTGTTTGCCTAGCATTGAGAGCCACTGGGTTTGGTCCTCAAATAAAAATAAAGATATTATGTCTATCTACAACTACAAAAGAGTTCTTTTAAAAGGATCCATAAATGGGTTGGTATCAAACTAAAAAGCTTCTTCACAGCCAAGAAAACCATTAAGAATATGAACAGAGCCTACAGATTGGAGAAAGTCTTTGCCACATACACCTCAGATAGGGCATTAATCTGCAGGATATACAAATAATTTAAAATATTTAAAAACAAAACAAAAAAACCAAATAATCCAATCAGTAAATGGACAAAGGAACTGACAGACACTTCACAGAAGAACATTGGCAAATGGTCCACAAATATATGAAAAAAAAAAAAGGTTCAACATCTCTAACAATTAGAGAAATGCAAATAAAACTGCACTGAGATTCCTTCTCTCTCTGGTCAGAATGGCAATTATCAAGAATACAAATAATGATAAATCTTGGCGAGTGTGTGAGGAAAATGTTCACTCTCACATTGCTGATGCGACCGCAAATTGGTGCAATCACTCTGGAAAGCAGTATGGAGAGTCCTCAGAAAATTTGGAAGGGAACCATTCGACCCAGTTTTTCTGCTCCTTGGTATATACCCAAAGGACTTAAAATCAGCATGCTATCGTGACACAGCCATGTCAATGTTTATACCAGCTTAGTTCACAATAGCTAAGCTATGAAACCAATCTAGGTGCCTTCCAACAGATGAATGGATAAAGAAAATGTGTTATATATACAAAATGGAATATTCCTCAGCTGTGAAGAATGAAATTATAGCATTTGCCAGTAGTAAATGAATGAATCTGGAGACTATCACACTAAGGGAAATAAGCCGATTCAAAGGTTGAAAGTTCTGTCTCATAAGTGGATGCTAACACACAGTAAGGTGGGGGAGGAAAGAATAGAAGTTCACTGGGTTAGACAAAAGGGATGGGAGTGAGAATGGTAATAGGAAAGACAGTCAAATGAATCTGACACAACTTTCCTATTTATATACGAATCCACGACCAGTGTAACCACATTATGTACAAACATGAGAATATGAAGTTATACTCCACGTATGTGTATGTTGAAATACAGTCTACTGTCATGTATATCTAAAAAGAACAAAAACTTAAAATATATATAAATTACTATTGTTTACAATTATGAATTATTAAAAAATATATTGGCTTTCTAGGGCTTGGGAAGATGGAGGGATTAGACCACTGACAGCTAAAGGGTTCCAGGCTTCTTTTCAAGAACATGAAAATGTTTAAAAATTGACTGTAAGTGGTTACATAACTCTGCTAATATACAAAGAAAACTGAAGTTTACATGTTAAATGGGTGGATTAGATGGCATGTGTATTACATATATCATAAAAATTTCTTTTAAGAAATCTACTGAAAGAACTTATAGATAACATTTTTTCATTGTCTAGCTTGGTATCAGTAACAGACATAATACAAATATTTATATGCTTTCATAATGTATCTAAAATGAAAGAAAAAATAAGGGAAAAGCCTAGGTTTTCCAATAATTAAAAAATAACCTACACCATACATGTATTTTCAGAAAAGCATAAAAACTTTTTTGTATACTTTAAAAAAATTCATTTAATAATTATATGCAGATTCTGTATACATGAACAAAAATGAAGGTAATAAATGACACAATTCCCTGAAACATTCTATTAAATGGTACCTCTGGTTTAATTTTCCTTGACTCACCATGGAAGTCGGGATAGCATTAAAAGCTGCTGGGTTTAAAAAAAAAAAAAAAGTCTCAGCTTTCCTCAGGGTAGATATTTTTAATGAAAGATATATGACATTGTAACAGAAAAATTCCACAATAAAATTTTACGTGTAAGAAATAAGTGCAGTGTAAAGATCACAAAATATAATAAAATCAATTATAATGAAAATACAAAGAAAGCTGTTGATTGAAATGAGTGTACCAGAACAATTTTCATTACTTAAGCAGATTTACAGTTGACATGTTCGCTTTTGTACATACTTGACTTGTCATTTGTCTTAGTGTCTTCTTTAAATCTCGTCTTTTGTCTTTTAAATTTGTGTGAAAACGTGGTGAAGCAGATTGTAATTTCAGGATACCAGCCGGTTGTTTTTCAAGATGCCTCACAACTACCTGATGAGATATTTCTGTTAATGATTTTGTTACTCAGCGCACTTTAAAAATATATTAACATTTTATAATGATGTTTACTCAGAAAAAAAATCACTACATACACATATTCATCCTATTTTTCACATGTGTGTACACTCCTGTTTATTTCTGAATTCCCTGAAGGAAACAGAAGGTTCTATACTCCTGCCTAATCACTGTCACATTCTTTAGACAACAGGGTCAAGCCCTTTCTATGTACTGCCCTCGATAAGGTTGCAATGCTTAACAATCCACTGAATTCTCAATCAGAAATGGTTATGCAAGTCTCATTGGTGGTGGTGAATTCTACAGAGGTTATTATCCCTCTTATTAGAGGCTCAAATACATACCCCAAATCCTCACATCTTCAAACCTTTGCTGAAATAATTCCAATATACTTCCATGAGGAATAAAAGAGACCCTAGGTGACCTGCTCTCCACCTCAGTGCCTGTCCTCTGCTCCTAGAAATCTCACTGGTCCTCACACCACTCCTGCTCTACATAAATCCTGCCACCTCATTAGTCTGGAAATGGGGGTTCAGTGCCAAATTAATGAACTGTAGACGGCTACAATTATCTTTGTACTGAAAGGCTATTTCAGATAAACAATTGGGCCTTGAAATGAAGAAAACTATGAGCAAGTTTTATCATGGATATATGCAATAAATTACAGATTAAATCCACTGTTTTTTCTGCAGTTCATCACATTTGTCCCAACCCATGATAATGACAAACACACTTTTTAAAGAGGTGGAGAGGTCATGAATAAGGAAAAAAATATCAGGACAGTTATTTTCAGATTTAAGTTGAATTGACATGACTAAAAATAAACTTACCAACTAGAAAGATATAAAAATATAGTGAAGAAAATCTATTAAAAAATACAGCATCTACATTTCAGTTCAGCTGGAAAATCTGGAATGAACTGTCAAAGTAATTAACTCAATTGAAACTAGGTATGAGCATTTCCATTTATCTGCTTCATTGTGGTTTTAAAGTATGGCAACATGAAGACATTAAAATTGTTATTCCGTGATGGGATGTAGCTCATTGGTAGAGTGTGTGTTTTAGCATGGGCAGAGCTCTGGATTCAATTAACAGCACCAAAATTAGACATTGTTTCACCATTATTGAGACAGTATTATTAATGTCATCATATACATCTACTAAGTCTGTGTATCAATCTCTCAAATCTTTATAAGAAACACAATTATTTCTTAAATTGAGGAATCTGACATGTCCAAGTTTTAAAATTTCCTCCTTTTCAAATATTAAAATCCATTTTATCTAAGTTTTTTTGTGTGTTTATTTGGCATATGACTACCTAAGTTATTTTAAAATATACACATAGCATGTAAGAATTAGAGCAGGGAATTGGAAGACGTATCACTTCAAACACAGATCATTTATTTGCGCTGGGAATGAGGTCTAAGTTATATTTGCTGGAACTCAGGTTGTACTTCTGTGTTGATAACACAAAACACATTTATAATATATGAATTTTTATATTCATCAAGATTCAACATTTAGCCATAAGCAAATATCAGTTCAAGTTTTCCTTCTAAGACCCTTTATACTTACTACTTCTTTCTCCTTTCCATATTGATCCAGTTGTTCTTTTAAATGATTAGTTTCACTGGTTAATTCCATATATTCATTTTCCAGCATGAGATAATGTTTGTCATTCTGAGCTTGAATTCTTTTTATAATATCCTGAAATTGGGTTTGGATATTAATAATTTCATCTTTTTTATCATTAGCTTTGTTCTGATAGTCATGCAATTGGTCTTTCAGCAATGTAGTTTCACTCTGTAGTTTAGACACCTTCTCTCTAGAAGCTTCCTGCTTTCTGAGGTGTGCATTCCTTTTTCTTTGTTCATTTTGATACCCGTGTTCCATCCCCTTCAGTTGGCACTGTCTTTGTTTTAGGTGTCTGTTTACCTGTTCTGTAGCCAAAGTCATGACTCTGAGAGTACCTCTTGTCTTACGCAGCTCGTTTTCGAGGTCACTAGTTTTTATTTCAGACTTTGGAGCCTGTTGGGAAGGAATCTCACTACTAACTTCTAGGTTAATTACATCAATGTTCTTTTCTTCCTGTGAACTAAAGTCTTTATCTCCGGCTCTCTGGAAAGCAAGTTCTAGATTTCTTTTTGGAGTTGGACTTTCACCCTGATGGTGTGGAGCAGCACCAGGTCTGGCAGGGTGGGATTTGACTTCTGTTTCTGGTCTTTCTGTGCTCTGTTTTTCACTCTCCAGTGTGCAGTTTTGCAGTGTACTCTCAGCTTTCCAAATATCCAACTGTTCATTATCCTGGAATGTTTTTGTAAGTGTTTTCTCATTCATTTTGTCTGTCCTTGGAAGGTCAACATTCTTTTCTGTTAAAATTTCAGTATTCTTAAGGCACTTCTTTTCCTGGTTCTGATATTTTATTGGGTCCATTCCCAGTCTCCTCATAGAGATTTCATCCTTCGTCTTGTGATATTTATGCAATGGCTTGTTGTCTGACTCATCTCTAGTAGGAATCTAAGTAAAAGCAAAGAGAGACATTTTGCTACAATTCAATAAAATGACATTTTATAATTTCCTCTAAAATTAAAGAATAACCTGTACATATGGTGAAAGGGTTTCAATAGATACTCCACTGAAGAAAAATTAGATGTAAACTTCTGAGCTTATAAAAACATAAATTCCCAAAAGTTCAAAAAGTTAATCCAAGAAAATGGATCTATGAGAGTAAAAGGAAATTTCAATTTAAAGAATGTCAGAATTGCCAGGTACAATGGCACATGCCTATAATCCCAGTGGCTCAGGAGGAGCCAGGAGGATCACAGGTTCAAAACCAGCCTCAGCAATTTAGCGAGACCATGACTCATTCATTAAAAAATAAACGGCTGGGGATGCATCTTAGTGGTTCAGCACTCTGGTTCCAAAAAAAAAAAGAAAACAAGGATTGAAAAATTCTGAATTACAGCAGACTGAAAGAATAGAGTAACTGAAGAGTTTGCCAATGTTAAAAAAAAAAAATTTTTGCAGAACAGAAAACAGAGAGACAGACCCACATATATAATCTCATTCTAGAAAAGGCATCATAAACATGCAAAGGAGAAAAGATAAGTTCTTCAACAAATAGTGCTAGGAAAACTGAAAACTCATATTTAGTATGAGAAATTTAACCTCTATTTCTCACCCCACACAAAACACAAAGTGGATCAAGGACCTAGACATTAGGCAAGAGAACCTAGGCCTATTAGAATGTGAACAGAGAGCCTACAGAGGACTGGAGGGGGGGTGTTTGTCACTGACACCTCAGATAGAGCATTAATTTCCAAAACAAACAACTCAAAAAAACTTAACACCCAAAACCACAAAACAGAACAAATAACCCAATCAATAAATGGACCAAAGAACTGAGCAGGCACTTCAAAGAAAAAGACATGAAAACAGTAAACAAATATATGAAAAGAAGTTCAACATCTCTAGCAATTAGAGAAGTGCAAATTAAAACTATACTGAGATTGCAATCTCACTGCAGTCAGAATGCCAATAGTGCAAGTAAAATGTGGCATATATACATAATGGAATTTTACTCAGCAATAAAAGATAATAAAATCATGGCATTTGCAGGTAAATGGATGGTACTGGAGAAGATAATGCTAAATGAAGGTAGCCAATCCCCCAAAAACAAATGCTGAATGTTTTCTCTGATATAAGGAGGCTGACTCATAGTGGGCTAGGGAGGGGGAGCATGGGAGGAATACATGAATTCTAGATAGGGCAGAGGGGTGGGAGGGAAAGGGAGGGGGCAGGGGGTTAGCAAGGATGGTGGAATGTGGACATCATCATCCAAAGTACATGTATGAAGACACAAATTGGTGCCAACATACTTTACATACAACCAGAGATATGAAAAAATGTGCTGTATATGTGTAGTAAGAATTGTAATGCATTCCACTGTCATTTATTTTTAAAAAATCAATAATACAAAAAGAATGCAAGTAACAAAAAATGTTGGTGAGGATGTGGGAAAAAGTTTCACTCATACATTGCTGATGGGACTGCAAATTGGTACAATCACTCAGGAAAGCAGCATAGAGATTCCTCAGAAAACCTGGATGAAACCATCATTTGACCCAGTTATTCTGCTCCGTGGTGTAAACCCAAAGGATACTACAGTGACACAGCCACATCGATACTTACAGCAGCTATTCACAAAAGGTAAGCTATGGAACCAACCTAGGTGCCCTTTAACACATGGATAAAGAAAATGTGTCATATATACACAATGGACTCAGCCATGAAGAATAATAAAATTATGGCATTTGCCGGTAAATAGATGAAACTGGAGACTATCATGCTAAGTGAAGTAAGCCAGTCCCCCAGATCCAAAGCTTAATATTCTCCTTAATCTGTGGATGCTGACACAGATAGGGGTGGAGGAGGGAATTGAATTAGATAAAAGAGAATAACGGGCTGGGAGGGAATGAGAAGGATGATACAGTGAACCTGACATCACTTTTCAATGTTCACATATGAATACACAACCAGCAAAACTCCACATCGTTTTCAACCACAGGAATGGGATCCTAATTAGCATAAGTTATATGCCATGTATGTATAATATGTCAAAACACCTCTACTGTCATACATACCTAAAACAAAAAACAATTCACTATTTTTATGTTGATATAACTTTTAGAATTTTATTTTCTACACTTTAAACAGTTAAAAATTGCAAATATTTTATTATGTACCTACCTGTTGGGGTGGCTTCAGTGGCAAATAAAAGAACATTTAACTTTAAGAAGAATAAGTTTCCAGTCTGACAGCTCAAGCATTTGACCAGCCTAGTACGAGCCTTAGCTCTACATCTACTCAGACACACAAGAGATCCCCAAGTTCTTTTCCTGAAAGTATTTCTCCCTTATTATATTTCTAACATTTTAGAGCAAAGTATGGGAATTGCATCTATTGATAAATGATATATCTAGGAACAGCACTAACCACATGTATGTATACCAACGAACAATGTATCACAATTCTGAAAAGGAGGGCGAGGCTACAAACATAGGCAAATTGCAAGATTTTTCTCCAAGTATTTTGCCTCTGCTCCTAGTGCTCATCCACCAAGCCAGTTATTTCTGACCTACGAATGGATAAACACCAAAGAAGGCTTGTGTTTCAAAATACAAATGACAAATAAGGCAAAATGTGCAAGGCTCTACTCAGAAAATCCTGAGATTGCTACTCAGCAGCATTTGTTTCATCTCAGTGAGGTTTGATACATAAGTCAATATAAGAAAGGGGAAATAAACTGACTGTATTGATTAGAAACAAATACTTACCAGTAACTTATTTCTAAGAACATATTATGGTATGCCATTGTTTCCAAAGGTGTTTTGCACTGAAATAAGAGATTACTTGGAGCAAAGTGTTTCTCTTCTCAAGAATGAGGAAATGATATACAAAATCAGGGTCCTCACTGGCCACACTTTTCCTCCTTACTTAACAGTGGGAGCAATACCACACATTAACACACAAAGGGAGTGAAGTCACTGCTCCAAAGTAAAACATCTACTATTAGAAGCAAGGGTTTTGAGATCATAGAGAAATCATCTATTCCTGTGGAAAATATTAAAAGGCCTTCTCTTGATGAGGCTACTCTCAAAGCCATCATGGGACTGCTGCAGAGAAATAGAGTTGACTTAAGAACATTACTGAATTCAATGAGACAAAAAATGCCACCCTCACCCCCAAAATATGTACATTATGGTTATGTATATATATGGATTTGAAACCCTGTATACTTTTACATGATAATTACTGTTTAAAATGTTACACACACACACACACACACTTGAAAACAATAGAGAAAAATAACTTAGGAAACGTATCCTTTTGGCACACATCAGTCTCTTTTTGTTTGCAAAGATGTTTTACTGAAATTCCATATTGTAAATTCTGGCATTCTGTAATCATGAAAGTTGTCTGTAGGTTTCATTTTGTTCTGCTAAAATCTACAAGTTCATTTCAGCAAGGTTTTTGACCACATATCAGCATGTAGCGGAAAGTTCTAAAAGCTTAATTAAAGAGTGGTACCTTAAAAAAAAAAAAAAAAACTCAAGAGTAGGTTTACTCTTTTATTTATTTATGCATAAATGACTTACATTTCAACTGCACAAATGACAGATAAATTTGTCAGAGTGAAAACATTTCTTAAATACAGGTAGAGATGTAATTGTAAAAAACTTTAAAAATGTATTTAAATAGTTTTATAGCTATTTAGTCTGTATCTTAACATAAAAAACCCTAAATTGGCATTTATATCAGTGATCAAAGTCAACTTCTTCATTCAGGAAACAAATGCTGAACATCTACCAGATGCTAAGATTTGCAGTAACTGATTTTGCCATAGATGCCATAATTTAATTTTAGAGTCAGATTACATTATTTTAAACCCACATACCAATGCTTTGGGAGACCATAGACTGCTTATCGACGGATGACCTGGAAGTCTGTATTTCCTGGCATTGTGGGCGATGTCTGAAGTGTGTGGATGTACACACACATGATTACTGCATGTGGGTGAAACTGCCCAACAGCACATTCCTCAGACCACATTGCCACCATTAAGTGAAACATGGCCACATACAGTAAGTTAAAGGGATTTTATAAATCATACAGAGGAGATAAAGAATTTGAAACTCTACTGAAGGGTCATTTACCTGATCAAAATGATTTCTTGCAGTCCTCAATTTCATACCCAATGTATCGACAGAGATTTCAGCTTGCTTTCTCACTTTATCTTCTTTGTTATATTCCGCTTCTTTTTCTTTTAACTGGTCCTTATTTTTTTCACGTAAAAGTTCATCATTTCTTCTCTTTGCCTCTTCCTTCAAGGCACACCTGGAGTTAAATATGGTTATCTTTAAATTAATTTTTGCCAGAAATGAAAAAAAAGTCTTTTTATGTTCTGGCTCTTTGTATGCTAATTTAGAATCCTAATAAAAATTCTATATTCTCTGAAGCTTTTCTTTTCTAGCTTCACATTTTTAATTTCTCCTTTATTCTTGTCTAAAACATACCTAACTGAAAGGCATAATAAAAGACTATTTTATTATTTGGTAAGTTTCTGTTACTAGTAAACCTTTTAGATACTTCAGAAAAGGAATTCTGAAATAATTTGGTAAACTGACCAGCTCAAAATGATCTTTTTTGCACTATCAAAGATCCTCCCCAGTTAAAAAGATAATTTCAAGTTAAATAAGTTTTAAAGACTTATGAATACGGTAGTAATATGATTTCATCTTCATAAAATATGTCAGGTATACCTACAATTGACTTACAGTACAGCAGCATATTCAGAAATCCTTCTTTAAACATATATCTTTTGTATCACTGTAACCCAAAACTGGGATAAGAAATCTAATACCTGTTTTTACAATTTTTCTGTTTGTTTTATAGCAACATTTTCAACTTACCTTGTTGGTCATTATGTATTTTACAAACAAGTTAAAATCCCCTTTGGAACAATACAGAACCTAATATTTAATCCAATAATAAAGATTAATGCCCTTTAACAGATGAATGGATAAAGAAAATACGATAAATATGCACAATGAAATATTGGCCATAACAAGAATGACTTTATGTCAACATGTACTCCACCATCATGGACACTTAAGAATAAAAAAAGTTCTTTCAATATAGAAATCTGGGGCTGGGGATGTGGCTCAAGCGGTAGTGCGCTCGCCTGGCATGCATGCAGCCCGGGTTTGATCCTCAGCACCACATACAAACAAAGATGTTGTGCCCGCCAAAAACTAAAAAAATTCTAGGATATGATACCTCAAATCGTGGAGTTGTTGTTTCAGTTCTGCATTTTCCTGCTGAAACTCTGATAGCCCCTTTTTTTTACCTCAAATAGGAATCTGAACAAATGTGATTTATAAATGAGAGTAAATTTGATTAAATTTATTTTTAATGAATGTTAATGTAAAAACTGTACCTGAGGGTCTAGCTCAGCACTAGCACATCACACTAGTCATACAAAACCCTGGATTTGATCCCAGGCATAAGAAAAACTACAAATGTATAAAAACATGTTTTAGGGCAGTGAAGAAAACCTCATTAGTGAAATACAAACTTTCTTGAGCAATTTAGAAATCCAGATCAAATATCTTTTTAAAGCTTCCCTACTTTCTATATTAAATTTTTTAAAAAAAGTAAACAGAAATATAGAATATAATTTTTTCTCTTCTTTTGTTCTCACCACCACCTTTGGCACCAGGAATTGAACCCACAGGAGTGACATCCCAAGATCTTTCTTTTTTTAAAATTTTCAGACAGGGTCACACTGATTTGCTTATGACCTTGCTAAGTTGCTGAGGCTTGCTTTGAACTTTTGATCCTCCTTCCTCTGCCTCCCAGGCTGCTGGGATTATAGGCATGTACCATGGCACCTTGAGTGTAAAATGATTTTTTCTAAATAATATTTCTTGAAACATTAATTGTAATAAAATAGTTAAAAATATAAACAAATAACACCAAATTCTGTTAGTTAAATAAATAGAGTTCTAGTAGAAGGGGTTGCATATAGCCATTAAAATTGTGACAGGGAAGAATATGCATTTAATTTTTAGAAGTAATCACATTTAACAATATGTTATCTAGTTTGTAAGAAATTTGTATTTTATTCAAATTTTCTCCCTTGCAAAATGCCAACAGATAAAGATTTTTCCTTCTTATTTCTACTGGAATAAAGGAAAGGGTTCCACCCCTACTTTGAATCTAGGATATGATACCTCAAATCGTGGAGTTGTTGTTTCAGTTCTGCATTTTCCTGCTGAAACTCTGATAGCCCCTTTTTTACCTCAAAATTCTCATTTTCTAGTTGTGCGTTTCTTTTTAAATGTAGTGAACACTGTGAACAGTGATGTTTTTTAGGTTTTATTTTTCTTTGAAGTGATAGAACATCTTTCTGGGTTTTCAACAAAATAACAGAATCTGTAACAAAGAAAAGAAAGTGGAAACACAATATATGAGTAATTTTCATATATGAATGCTGTATATTTCACATACATTATTCATACACTAAGCCAATGTGTGCCTACAAAATGTGACATATTTTGCTGTTTTTGCAGATGAAGCAGAAGAGACGAGACCCTTCTTTAGCTTAAAGTCTAATGGAGAAGACAGACACATGAAAACCATTATAAATTCAGACAGATGATATAAGATAAAACAATCGAGACCAAAAAACACAAAATGCATTCATACACAGGTAATGTTCATAATGGAAACTCCCATATTGCCTCAAAACACTGATTACCCTGGTCTTTTCCATCTGGCACGTGACTGAAATTTCTCTGCCTCCATGGCTTCTTTTCCTTCATTTACTCGCTGTGCGCACGCGCGCGCTCTCTCTCTCTGCCCTTCTCAGTGTTTATTACCCCTTCCCCTCTGCACTGCATGACTTCCAACTCCCCTGTGATCTGTGCATGTCTTGTAGAGGGACACTCCCAGTGTAACCTGCGGCTGGACTTTGGGTCTTAAGAGAGACAACTCATTATCTTTCTGGTTTTCTCAATACTATCTGTTTACTAGGTTCATTTCTCCAAGTATTAGAATAACCAGGGCTCATGTTAGAAATCGATATTCCACCCCCAGAACTGTGTAGACTATGTCCTTCTTACCATGGTCATGTCCGTCTGTTTCCTCCTTTGCTCTACGTTGTTTCTCACTAGATGAGTGAGAAACCTGCATCTGCAGATGAGCCTCAGAGAATATCTGCAAAATGAATGACCCCAGTGAGTTGCATGAAGATTTCGTGACCACTCTTTTAGACATCACCCAATTTTTGGTCTAAAATGTAGACAAGTCCAGACTGACCAGTCATCCTTTCCACAGGGCAGCCTAGCGTTTATGCTCCAGATAAACCTGAACTCTGTTCTTCCTATGGCTCTGGATTTGTTAAAAGCAGGACAGAGTTCACAGAAAAGGCATCCCCTGACATGATGCTAACAGAGGTGTACACACACCAAAGAAGGGGAGGAACAAAATTCATTGTAACTCATTCTCCTTCCCATTCCCCTTCACATGTAAGAGGGTTTTTCAAGTCTTATTTAAAAGGATTTTTGAGGAATACTCTTGATATTACATGGGATTTCACATTATAAATGCTAGACTGACAAAGTTTTCATTTTAAAATATGAGACTTAGGTGTTCAGTTGGGGACCTGACACTGGGATCAGACCCCTGCCCAAGGACCCACCCGTGCAGGCCAAGTGACATATATCTAGATGCATGCTACCTAAACCTCGCCCTGGGAATGCTGGTAATGTCAGAAAACATGGTGAGACGGCATCTCCAAATTCCATCATTCCACCGTTGTTGCATCCAAATATATTTCTTTAACACACACTAAAGACATTTTGATCAAATACTCAATATATTGACCGATTTTCTGCATGCATGAGAAACGAAATGGAAAGGTCACCACAGAATAAAAATCGTTCAACGTGGAGCAAATGATGAGTGATTTTCACCAGGATGTTTAGCCTTTGGCAACCATCACCCTTCTGTAGGAATGTATCCAGTGGCCATTATACACCATTCATGGTACAGGTCCTTATTCCTCAGTCTCATGTTTCATCTCAACGTTTTTCCTTTTCAAGGAGCTTTCTCACGTGGAAGCACAAGTGGCATTTAGATACCTTTTGCCT